GGGACAGGGCTGCACACAAGCACACACACTGGCACACTGGCACACTGTCGGGACAGGGCTGCACACAAGCACACACACTGGCACACTGTCAGGACAGGGCTGCACACAAGCACGCACACTGGCACACTGTCGGGACGGGGCTGCAGACAAGCACGCACAAGCACACTTAGCATGCTGTTGTGACAGAGCTGCAGCCTGTTTCTAGCATACAGCCTGTGTGCACTGGTGCACTAATCAGAAAGCAGATTTGCACTCGCAGCACTCACAACTAAGAAGCACACAGCATATAATACTTTGATCTTTGAAGTGGTCGATCGTGGGCGTTCCAAGATCATACTCACTAGGTTAGCCTGAGTTTTCATCTATAAAAATGTTTCTTGAAAAGAATGCTTAGAGACAGAGGAATGATGGGCCTGCGGCAAGAGCAGCAGGACTGTGTGGAAAGGATGCTGATGTAAGATGGGAGTTCCTTTTCACCGGGGGGAGAGGACATCTCTCACTGATTCCTACAGCCAGGCACGCTGTAGTCACAGGAGACTCAGAAGTCAGGACAGTTGGCCCCAGGAGCTCCCTAGATAAACACTCCCTAACAAAAACCCCAGTGAGGCTGAGGACTGAAACTGACCCACGTCAGAACAGGTGCACAAGGACGCATGTAAAGTCTGCCGGGATGAAGGAAGGGTTCACGAGGGTGTGTTGTCCACCCTGATGACACACTGCACTACCACACTGCTGGGGAGGGCCCCAGGTGAGGTGGCACAGGGGGCCTGCTCCAGGAGTCACTCTGAAGCACCTGGGGGTGTGTGTGCCTGACTTGGGGCGGGAGGGATGAGCACGGACGGAGGTTACTGACTACACGGTGTTTCTGGACAAGGGCCAGGAGCGTCGGTCATGTTTTCCAGGACTCATCAAAACTTCACATGAACGAAGATGCATCTGTCATCAGTAGCCCGTGTTTCTCTGAGCCGGCTGGGCAGGTGACCTCCTGGTGATCACACGCATGTCTGACGGTGGGACCTAGTGCCGCAGGTTGTTCTGGGAAGCTGGGGTAGAAGAGGACTTGCACAGAGAAGTCACCACCAAGCCGCTGCTTAAGTCCAGTCCTCGGCCTTCCTTTTCCTACAGGAGAAGGCAGACCATGCTGAGATGCTAGGAATGGAAAGAGTTCTCCTCACTCAGGAGCCCTAGGGTTGGAGAACGGTGGGGACAGCGGGGTA